TTCCCTCTTGCCAAGTAGCTTTGTAATGTGCACAACAGCAGGGTCTGAAAGTGGTAAGATTACCTGTCTGGTGATGAGTTTGTGTGGAGCAATTTTGGTTTAATAAGTAAATGTGAAGTTTTTCTTATTCTAGGCAGAAGTACAGTCACTTTCTAGACTGCCTTTTAATTTAGAAGTAGGGAAGCTATGGCACTGAAAGCAGGCTTCAGAGGAAAAAGTATTTCAACTCAAGATGCTAGCCTGTATTTATGAGACTTGTAAGTAGTCTGTAGTTACTCTATGGCCTTGGTTCCCTAGCTGTAAAACAAGGATGAAACTACTTTCTCTGTTTTGTGTCTTAAGTTGTGGGTTTGGATATTTAAACTGAATTACAGCCATAGTAGGAATTCCAGTATGCGGTGGCAGTGACCTTCTCTATGAAGAATGTGTTTGAAAGGCAACCACACAAAATTACAAGCTGTACTGTGATGAAACCTGTTTCTGATGCACATGTGGGCAAAGGTATCTGGGATTTTTGATATGATCCTACAACTGGACCCCTATAACAATTTTTTTTTAATTTTTTTTTTTTTTTTTTTTAAGATGGAAGAAATGTATAAAAAAGCCCATGCTGCTATACGGGATAATCCAGTCCATGAAAAGAAACCCAAGAGGGAGGTCAAGAAAAAGAGGTAAAAAACTTTCATCCACGTGAATGTGACTTCTTTGTTGAAGATATTTCAGTTGGGTTAAAACAAGTAATATGATTCATGTTGCAGTTGTGTCAACTTGCAGGTGTTTTAGATCAGATCACGATACAAGCATTTCAGTAAAACTTCATCAAGAGTTAACATTAGCAGTAGGAATCTAAAATATAAGAGCCCTCAACTATATAAAAAAAAAATTGAAAGTGGAGCATGCTTGTGGCCCGAGTAGCTGGAACTCCTTAAGTGTGTATCTTCAGGTCTTATGTATTTTCAGTGGGAAAGCTGCTTCTCTTCAGAAGTCGGTACTAAACTATTCCCCTTTTTCCGGGGTCTGGGAGAAAAAGAAAGGCGCACCTATTGCATTGGGCTTGATACTGCCTATACTCTAGTCACAAAAGAGTACTGAGGAATTACACTGCTGCAGTCTAACCATGCCTTTTTGTGGTGCCCTCACTACAGCCTTAAATCATTACGAGGAAATAAAGCATGTTACAGAGTGGGAATATGTTCTAGCATAGCACTCTTAATTACAGTTCTGGTGCACTGCAGCTTTCTTGACCACCTTTTTGCTTATTTCTACCTTGGGTATATCTCATGCTGTGCTTACATTGCAGATGGAACTGTCCCAAGACGTCCCTCGCCCAGAAGAAAGATCGTGTTGCTCAGAAGAAGGCTAGCTTTCTCAGGGCCCAGGAGCGTGCAGCTGATAGTTAAGACAACTTCCACAATTTTCTATGAAGCTTTGGAAAAAGTGGCAATAAATTTATTAAGCAACTGTGTAAGACTGGATTATTAATACATCTTATAAAGATGCAGAATGTTTTTTATGATGCAGATAGATATGCTGTAGCCTTAAGGGGTTTTTTTTCCCCTTCGAAGTACTGTATGAACTGAACTCCTTCACAGAGAAGTGACAGACTTCAAAACCAAGCAACCCTGCTGCATTAGAATTACTCCTGTAAGAACAGGAAATAATTTTGTCTCGATATAAGAACTTGCTGCTTCTAACTATGAAAAGATTTAAAATTTTCAAATCATGAAGGACATGCAAAGCCCTTGCAGCATTCTTAATGTTATGGGAGAATCTGTATGTACCTTAAGAAAAAAGCAGTAGTCAGAGTAGGTTCTAAAGCTCAAAGGCAGCCTTAGGCTGTCAGGAACACAAATGGCAACACTTCCCCTAGGTGACAGAGGAATACAGGTCTAATTGAAGTACTTAAGCTTCTTCCACTGAAGAAGCACTTCCACACACTTGGCTCCAAGCACTATGGCTACTGAGACAGGTACTGTCTTAAGCCAAATACTTGACAATATGTAGTGATTTGACAAGAGAATACACTTTAAAGTTGCATATCCATGCTTAGTTGACTTGCCCCTGGCCCCTGTGCATCTCAGTTTCGTAGGCAGTTCCTTGTTTCCCATCAGAGTTACTGAAGGTGCTTACACAGTTAAAACATGAGTCAGGTAGGCTACATGGAGGAATACTGATGCTCAGAGATGGTAAGTGCTGCTATCAAAAGAGAAAGAGAGGCCTGCAATTTATTGTAAACAAAAGTGGTTTTTTTTTCCCCAGTGAAAGTTTCAACTTGATGCAACAGCAATAAAAATGAAGGTTCTGTACAACAAACTGCACCATTAAACGTGTTTTCCAGTTGTTTAAAATACCCAACATCATCCTGGATTCAATAATCTTCTCTGCCCCCAGCCTAGTAGCAATCACAGATTTTTCCACCAAGAATGTGACCACATTTGAGTGCATTGCTACTAGCTCATGGTTGGAGGACATTACCAAGTTAGAGACAATAATTAGCATTAGCATAGTAATTCTTAAACTAAAAAGCTGATGTTTACAAAACAGTACACTCTTAACCCAAGCTGCATACTATTACACACAGTATGGAGAAATGACTTCATGTTGGTCCTGTACTTCAGCTTCATCGTTCAAGGAATGCATCTAATATGGGATACCTAAAGCAGTTAACCTTTCAAATATATAAATAAAGCTTGTCCTTACCTATGCTGAAAATGAATGAAGGGGCCAGGATTTAGAAGTATAGGGATGACTGCCATTAAAATCATTAAGGATCGATGCATCTAATATGGGATACCTAAAGCAGTTAACAACCTTTCAAATATATAAATAAAGCTTGTCCTGAAAATAAAAAAAGCTGAAAATTAATGAAGGGGCCGGGATTTACAAGTATAGGGATGACTGCCATTAAAATCATTAGGGATCAACTACTTCATACCTAAAGCATAAGTATTGAGCACAGTATTAAGGTGGTTTATGGACATCCAATTATGCATAATTGTGAACATGGATGTAAATCTGAAACAGGGATGCAGATTAAAGGCGGTACAGTGGTCATGCCAAGTGAAATGCAAGGATCAGATGGTGTTTATTTACTCGTGACTCAAGACTTAATGACTTATGGATGCTCCCAGAAAAAAAAAGAATAGTAACACACTACAGCTCACTCATGTTCTGCCTTCTTCCTAGCTGTTCCTATCTCAGGCTCCCATTTAAGCGATATTCCATGATCCTAACCACTCCAGCTTCTGTCCTACAGTTCAGGTCTAGCTCTGGCTTACATAAATCCACTTGAACTGTCGCAGGAAGCAAGTACAAGGCTGTAGCTAAATGTGGAGGGACAGTAAAGAGTCAAGACTTCATCCCCAACTACTACTTGCTTCACATGTGATACAGCAGATTCCTACACCATGCAAGCTTCCTTTTGTAACTGTTAGGGCATTTCTGCTATCGGTATTTTTAAGAATTAACTTTAGTTCTCATAAAATGGCTTAGTCCACAAACTCCTTACTTTTCAGTATTTGCTACAACTTAATTTGTGTTAAGGGTTTCAACTGAAGTAGAAGTACAATAATTACATTTTTTGAAACAGATGTTGATATTGCTGCTAGACTATATACATGATTTTAAGAAATAACATTCTAAAATTCTTGGCTCCCAACATGGTTCACTATATAAGGACTTAATTAAAAAGTGTTGAACTACTTAAACATTCAAGATGTAAGCATGAGGTAACAAGGTGTAAACAGAATCTGATTTAAGTCTCATATTACAACCTGTCAGTTCTAGAATAAAACTCTTAATTTTCCACAGTTGAAAAATTATTAATGTGCAAATTCTGCCATGCCAAGGTATTAGTAAACGTCAATCTCACAGTTCAGTTTATTCGCAACAGCAGCTTGGACTCAAGACACATTATTTGCAGTAGTGGTGGTTCTTCATAAAACTACTTATAAAAAACTCTTTTGCCGGTATTTCACAAGTGAGCAATGATTTTCACAGAATAGTAAGATGTTCCATCAGTTGATGTGGTGGCACAGTGAATACTTTCATCCCGTTCAAGAGCTGACCAAGTGCACAGAACAGTCAAGCATGCAGGGTTTTTGTTTCCATAACACAGCAGTGGAACACCAGAAGCGCTTCTGGCCTCTGCCCGACCGCCCAGCAGCATCTTCATTCTTTGAGAAGCTCTGTCATAAAGTACTGACTGAGGGGCAAGAGCCAGTCGTGAAATCTGAGTAAAGAATCGTCTTTAGAAAATGCTGCAGGTCGGGTGTTTTTTTTAACAAATGTGGCAGGCCACCTCTAGTGGCAGGCATCGGTACTATCTTCTGCTGGTGGAGAAGCTAAGAATCATTTGTATGGGAAATTTTCTTCCACAGTAAAGTTTTTAAGTTATTGAGTATTAAAGAATGCTCCATTTCCATCTGATTTGCTGTGACTTTAAGGGCAATACACAAGTACAGCTGTTTTTCTAGTTCTTCATGGATATCAGAAGGAGCACCACGAAGCAGATAGTCTTTAAGCAGCTGACAGGCTTTTGCCAAGTTTGGCTGAATTACTTCTGTGGTACATCTCATTTTGCTTTGGTCACATAGAGTTGTACAGTCTGTACCATAAATACAGTCCAAATCTGATTCACACTGACGATCTTTAATTATTTCCTTCAAATTCATTTCTGGCACAATTTTTCTCATGTCCATCATTTTCAAATCATATTTATCATTATATCCCAAGTTTTTGGCACTTGTATCGCACATAAGAAAGTTTCCATAAGGTCCATGGAAAATATCTTCCACAAATTCTAAAAGCCCTATAGCTATTTTTGCCTTCCTTGGCCATGATGGAGTAAACCATTGGTCCATGCTTCTTCTGAAGCCAGAGGGAATGAGAAGTTCTATAATCCATGGAAGGCTGATTCCATAGAGAGAGGTATATTCAACTCTTTCGGTCACATAGAGATCCCCACAAAACCCCATCAACTTGGGAGTGTGTTCTTTATCCTGCAAGATCACCATTAACAGAAACTCATCTAGCTGCAGAAGTGCCCATGCAGATTTCGCCTCTGGCAAAGAAACTCTACCATCTTTGTTTCCATCAGCAAAAGATAGGATGAGATTAACCAGCTCTGAAAGATTTCCTTGTTCACCCAACTTTGCCTAAAAGCAACAAATGAAAAAGATTAAGAATGATTTCATTAGCTACCACCAATCCACCTGTCTTTCTACCTCCTGCTAGTCTCCTCCTACGGATAATATCGTAGGACATGCTATGTTCTAGTTGTCATTGGTAACAGATGTTACAGGACTTGCTACCAGATGCCTGAAGAGCTTCTTTTTGTTCTGTTTTCAAAGGCACCGAGTATATGATCTTCTGAAAGTACTAGTGTTCTTTGCAATTCAAAATGCAAACATTAAAATTCTAACACTGTTCTTGATCGAATCAGTCTTTAGAAAAACCGTATCGAGTAGCCTGTTAAGTATTTTCTTAGAAAAAGTATGTGGAATTCAGATGTTTAGATCAGGTTTAGTTTTCAGCTTATTAAACCTTACAGGTGTAAAGAAATTACAGTATCAACTAGATTTTGGCCAGCTATAAAAAGTACCAAGACATACTGGGTACAAATCTCATACGGTAAGTGTACTGAAGTACTTAATTTTGTTACTTGACATAACCACCTCCATTGTATCAATACAGAGAAAGAAGTCATTGCTGGAATCAGAACTGTGTGTTTTCAACTACCACCAACGCACACCAGAAGTCAGATAAACTTTTTCCAAATTCTAGAAACTACTCTGAAACACTCTGCTCACCCATTCTTAGAGACAAAGCTACTGTAATGCATGACAACTGTCATCAGCTTCACATAATTCTGTTATCTGTGTGTGCATGCGCACACATATGCTCACTCGGCTAGAACAGCATTATTTCCATCACTGGAGACATAGGAGCTATGACAACAGCAAGAGAATGTTAAGAAAGAAACCCCCAAAATCAGTATTGACACAGCATCAAAGTGATAACTCTGTATTATGAAAATTCTGGGGTTGCATTAAAGCAATAGAATAATATATATATATAAAATATATATTTTTATATATATATAAAAAAAAATTTTTTTTTTTTTACCATATTTTCTGTACAAATACAAGTGAAAGCTGTAGACATGCAAGATGCATACCAACTTCAATCTGTTAAAAAGTAAGGAAAAAAACCTGATAGTTACTTCAAACTTAAAGATAAGTGCCTCTGGGAAAAACGATTTTTGTGCTAATTATTTTTCTAGCATCCACCTGAAGAAGGCTCACACAACAGGGCATTCTCTCCAGCCGCAGGAAAATAAGCCTTTCTGTCAAAATAGAATAATAAGCATATACTTACTTTAAAAAGACCATATACCATTTCTTTGAATTTCTCAACAGTGGTTCCTCTTGTTGGTTTATCAAATAGGACTATTTCCTTCCTTGGTTCTGGGTCAGTACCAAGGTCAAGTTGAGCAGCTTCTTCCATCTGGCATTTTATAACACCTTGCAGATTTCCCCAGATTCCTAAATACATCTATGCAAGAAAAGAGGGGGAAAAGGTAAAAAAACTTGGTAGAAGTCCATGACCTAAAGACCACCTGTACTCCAACCACTGCTTCAAGAGTCAAGTAGCAACACAGATTTGAAAACCGAGTCCTGTGTACAGACAGTGCAGAGAGCACGTTCAAACGACGGCAACTCCAAATTACAATACACTTAGGAGGCAGGTACTTAGGAGACTCTACACTGCCAAAACACAAAGACAGCTCAATAAACAGTATATTGGCATTACTGTCATCTCTGCATAGGTCGTTAAGAGGCTGCTGCTCCTATCTGGCAAGCAGGATAGCAGAGAAGTAGTACGCTGTACAAAAGTATAGGTATTCTGTCAAAAGGTGGAAGGATCTGGTGTATTGTGTATATATGTTAATAAAAACCAATGTATAATAAAATAATATACCTCTCTACATATAGGAATAATATATAACATTATACATAGGTGTGTTTTATATATAACATATTATTAATAATATATAGTATACCTATATATTCCCTCTATGTAGGTATATTATAAACACAGTCTGCATGTCACAGCAAATACAGTTCGAAGTAATCTGTATCACACAGATACAGCTTGCTGACACTAAGGTCTACCTGACATTCTAGAGCGCGACATTTCAGTGGGAAATAATAAAACTAGGTTGGATGAGTAAAGCCTTACCTGGTTATTGGGTTTTGTTGACAAACACTTTCCAAAATACAGGGTTTCTTTAGCACAAAGACTGCTACATGCTGACCCGTCAATAACTCCAGTCTTATATTTATCGCACTGAAACAAACAGGGAGAAAAATATTTAACAAATTGCCCAAGAAAGGATGCAACAGCTGTATCTCTCCCAACACCTGACTCTTAAAAGAAAAATCTAAGAAAACAATTTTAATAACCCTGTACCAAAACAATGTGAAGAAACATAACTGGTTTTATCTGTAATCAGAGATGTAATCTTACTCCAATGTGGTGGGATATCAGAGTTTGATTAATTTACACGTGGCACTGACTGAATTGGCCGGGGATTAGTCAGGACAAACATTTAAGAAAGCTATGCTAAATATACTTACTATTATTTTCCTACAGTCATGTCCTCTGCATAGTTCTGTGTAGGTGGAGTACTGAACATACATAACCCAGCTGCCAATAAATACTACTAACCAAGAGATGAAGAGATACTTCATCCGCATATATGAGAACCGTACCTAGAAGACACAAAGAGAAAACATTCTTTGTAATTCCTTCAGCAGTAGTCAGAAGGATAGAAACCAACATGATTTACTATTTCACCTTCAAGAATTTGACTTCCACAGTGATAATATAAGCAGACTGCATTACATGGAACATTTGCTTCCTTCAGTGAGGAAAACTGACAGGAGAGGTCAGTTTGACTTATGTAGGTGGAAGGAAAATTAAGATATAAGCAAATAAAATAAAACGTGACAGACCCTTATAGGGCAAACCAGGCTGCAAGAACCCATTTGATCAAAATCGTAAACTGTCAGAGCTCTGCTACTTGCATTTTTCTCTAAGACCAGTTACTTGTGTTCCACTCCTGGTAAACCAAATCCAACAGACCAGGAATGTGGTCAAAAAATAATCTGTGTTAATGTATAAATATGCGAGATACATATACAACGAGCAGCGTGGGTATCAGGGACAGGTTCCATGTGCTGACGTCTCCTGTTCCTTCCTTGAAATGACACCATGTAAGTATGCAAGTAAAATCCCTCTGTACTAGCCTCACCTTCAGTGGTCTTTCCCATTAACTGTATGCAAGACTTTCCTATTGTTTCTGTGGCCTCACATTTACATTTTTCCCTAGGGACAGAGGAAAAAAGTATTGAAATTAAGAATTGAGGGAGAGCTAAGTGCCTTGTAAGGGAGGAGGCACATTTTGATGGTTTTTTCCTCTTTTGAGTCTGGTGTGCTAATGGTTTGATTTTCATACTTACACCAGGATTAGAAAAGAATTAGAAAGTCAGATCAGCTTTAGCAACAGGATATAAGGAAAGTGCATGACAGCAGCTGTATTGGGTCAGGATGAGATCCATTTCTTCTAGTATCCTGATCTTCAGCAACAGCTATAAATAGGTGCCATCGAAGAGTGAGAACATATAATATATATCCCAGATGTGCTCTAGTTTTCCTCTAGAAGAACTTGCTAAGCCAGATGTGATTTTCTATATTTAGTAAATCTCAAACCATTTATCTTTCATGAACTTACCCAGTCTCCTTAAAATCCACATCAGCTTTTAGCATCCACAACACCCTTTAGCCATTAATTCCACAGGTCTACAATTCACTGTACCGAGGTCAGGGACTGGACTTTATTTTGCTTAAATCTGGTTCGTGTTAGCTTTCTTTGAGATCCCCTAGTTCACGTACCGGAAGAGATGACCTACCGATTTCTGTCCACTCCCTCCACATCTGTCATGATTTTGTGAACCTCCATCACATGCCTCCCTGCCATGTCATCTCTTTCCCAGATTGACAGGTCCTAACTTAGCAGTTCCTCATAGAGAAATGATTCTTTATGTTTGGAAAAGAACGTTCCAAGAAAGGTAGTAATGGCGAGCAGCTTTGCTGTCACATACACACATACATACCAAGTTAACCCATCTCACACATACTAATTTCAGATGGCTCCATCTGCATGCAAGAAAAAGCGCTGAAATAATTCTAAATTACTACAATTTGATAGTAATCATCTTACATCACAGTAAATTGAATGCATGGCTTCAGCTTTTATGTATATAATATTACTAAAGAAAATAATCTTCCACAAATGTAGGAAGATCTTCAAAGATGCATTTCCCTTTCTAAATATGTAATTTATTTATTTTTTTAAGGGAAGTAAGATCAAAGAAGCAGTTTTAATCAGTTGAATGGTAGCTTGGTCAAGCCTCAAAGAGAAGCAGGAATGCAAAAACAAACAGAGAAAAATGCTAGGGAAGATGATGGTATATGGCTCAGCCCTTAATTTTATATCCTATTATCATTCCATTTTATAGCATAACAATTTAAAAATATAAACGGGTAATTGTGAATCAAGGGGAAGGTGCACACAAGGTGTTTTGACACTTTCAGATGTAGAAGAGCAGTCCCAAATTCCATGTGAGTCATTCTATGAGAATGACTGAGAGCCTTTTGGCTATATTTTGAGAGAAGTGGGTAGATACCCCTTATGCCCAAATGACCCCAATATACAATGCTGCCGAAGTCCAAGGAAATCTTAATCCCTGCCCCTTCACCTTCACCCCCTAACAAAACCACCAAAAAGCCCAAACTAAATAATGCAAAAAGTTAAACCCAACAAGTTATGCAGAAAAGCAGGAGCATGCCAGTATGGCCTTTAAACAGTTCTAGCGTAAATATTTCTCATGATGCTTTATATCCCTTCAAAACACATAGTACCATGACATTCCACATCAAAATAGCATTTGTGGTTCCAAAATGCTAATAAATACATATCCACAGTCTCTGCAAGAACATGAGATTAGACACAAAATGGGTGAACACTTCTCCTGAGGACAAGCAGAAGCCGATCAACCCACCCAAGGCCTCACAGGTAGTGACTCATACCTAAGTCCACATCTCAGCAGTCACAGTCCACTGCTCTAACCACAATTTCGTATTTCCCTCCTTCTGCAGTAGAACAAAAATAGTTTTATATTGTCTTTATGCGATCAAATCTGCACATTCTTCACCTTGCTCAGCACAAGAATTCAAAGATTCAGTAAAAAATTAGGAGCATCACTGAAGTATATTTGGGAACAACCTTAAACTTCAGACATCTTACTGAAATAAGTGAGGGTTGTAACACACTTGTACACAAGTCTAACACAAGAGACCTGCCTTGAAAGTGGAAGGGTTTTTTTTCCACAGGATCATATGGACACCCTTGTCTACTTTATCATCTCAAAACTTCTTTCTTTGCTTCAAGACCAGTTCCTCTGCCTTTGAGTACAGACTGTAGTTACAGCCCAGCATCTGGAGATTTAAGAAAGTGATTTCTATTTTCTTTAATATACTAAGCTATAATTTTTTGTGTTTCAGCTGAAATACCACAAGATGATCTGGTCATACAGCCACAGGAACTTCACTGCTAAGTAAATAGTTATAGTCAAAAACTCATTAGTGTCATATTCTAAATTTTTCTGCTTTTGAAAATCGGAACTGAAACAGAACAATCACATCATTGGACTTGCTTAGACTGCAATTTCACTATACAAATTGTTCAGTACAGTACAAATTGCTTTGCCCCTGCTTCTTCACATCTCTATACTGAAGCCCATTTTTGTCATAATTATACCCAAAGAACTGTTTGTGAGTCTATATCACAGATGAAACTGGGGACTTGACCTGATTCACAGTACAAGCCTGCAAATAGTTGCATCAGCACAACCACAGGATACTGTGCCTTGGCAAAAACAGTAGAAATATTCTGAAGTAATTTTACTAACAACATTTTAAACCTATTTGCCTTTTTAAAAGTTTTTTCCCCCACTACCAGTGCTGCAAGTAAAGCCAGTTTATAGAAGACCATGTACCACATGCAATTTTTTTAACCATTCATGTTTTAGACTGTTGAAGAGAACAAAAATGAATATTCCTTTCAGTAACATACATAGCATATTCACATACCAAAAAGTCACTTAAAATCAAACCACTGTGCCCACCCACAGTAAACCATGTTTATAGAATCCTTGGTCTTCTCTGACCACCCATGAATATGACTAAATATTAAGGTTTATCATTAAATAATGCAGAGGTTGTGTTTATGCTGTCTAAGAAGTACTATCAGAATTTTGAAAGGCTGATTGTGGCAACGTAGATGTCTAATAGTTTCATGAACCTACACATCTATGATCTTTAATATAAATATAGGTTAAGAGGAACATGGAATACAAATACACAAACCCATACTTAGTAACAAAAAAAAAAAAATTACTGTCAAAGTTTTGGGCCACTTTCATAAGTTACGTGCTTGAGTACCCTCTTACTTATAAGTAACTAGATAAGGAAAAGTAGGAGAGAGCTGTACAGGAACATAGGATTGTCATGCTAGACTACATCAGTGGTCCACCAATAAAGATGCTTTGAAGAAAAAAAAATCCCATCAAGGAATTATCAACACAAATTTAAAACAAGTAATCAAATATTTCATCACAAGTTGTGGATTCAGATCATGTTTTCTTCAAAATAAAAAACTTTCTTAACCACTGGTGACTGGAAGCTTATCATATGCATCATTATTTTACTGCTAGAAGTCTCTGACAAAGACACCTAGGAGAAGTGAACCTTTTGTAACCAGGAGCTTGAGATGCCTCATACCCTTGGTTCTTCTAAATCAGAGCTAAGGTTAGCAAGGGGCCAGCGTTAAACCGATAAATAAACATAGATTGGATATAAATTTAAGCAGAGGATTTATGTTTCCAGGACAGCTAGCCCCTCAACTAATTAAAAATTTCAAACTGTTTTTCAATTTTTATATGAAACTAAGCAAATATTTTATTGTGAAAAATCAAGCGTTAAGCTGAGAAAAGTAAAACGGAAAACCTGATACTGCTTCAGAGTGAACTCTCCGCCACAAGCTGAAAGCTTGGAAAGCTTATGGAGGGAGACCTGGAAAGGGTGGGAGGAAATGGGTACCGGAAGATGGCAACAAGATGAACAGTATTACCTAGCTTTAAAATGGAGGGAAAACAGAACTGCAGCAGATGTCAGCTTTTTTTTTTTTTTTTTTTTTTTTTTTTTTACTAGAAAGACTACAATAATTTATGAGTACTTATAAAAATATGACAAACAGCCAGCATGTATTACACCCCTTCCTCTTAAAAGAAATAATCCAAGAAAGGTCAGTTCCAGAACACCCAAAGGTGACTCTAATCCACGGAGCTGCAGTCCTGCCGCGTGCCTCAGCTGTGCACCCCTATTCCTTCACACACATCCACTTGACTTGATTTCAAAACTATCTAGTTAAAAGAAGAGATAGGTACAACTGCCTGCTTTTATTCTGGTGATAAACCTTGACCAGTCAGTTCCTTCCACCATTTCTTCTTATATGATCTTTTACTGGAGTGGTGTAAGACAGGAATAATTTCTGCTATTTTCCTCAGAGCCACAAAGACCTTGGTCGGAGTAACATGTAATTTCCTCTAAAGCACAGTGTCCACAATGTGGATACAAACTGGAT